GGGGGGAGAATGCCACTACGAATGCGAGGTATGCGTCCAATTCCCACGTGGAAAATCTTCCAAGACATGCCCTTCACAGCACTGTGTCCGATTCAAAGGCCTCAGGCGTTTCCCGGGGAAGGCGAATAGGCTGAGCCACTGCCTGAACCGGTCATCTGATTGGTGCGATAAATGGCCACAGTAGCGGAGATACCCAATGAACACTTCTGTGCGAGCCACACACAAATATCCTGGCACCCCTCCCCCTCCCCTCAAACACAAATAGCAGGATTGCACTTAAAAGGAAAGTGAAATGTCTTGGATTAATTTGGGAACCCATGGATAATAAGGCGCACGTCTTTGATTTTGAGGGCGTAGTGTTCTCTAGAATGCACTTAAAAAGACTAAGACAAACCGCGTCATGGTCGACATGATCCCTGCGGCTGTTTATACAAACGCACATGACCTCAAGAAGTCTTTTCTTTTAAAGGGTGCTGTTCATATTCAAGTGTGCACACCGTACTGTCACAGGGGGATGCCATCTTAGTTCTATTGTAGCAAGGTTGACTAGTGTCGTGACCATTTTTTCGTCGTTTGTGATGAGTAAACTGTTAACCAGTTGAGGAGAAAACCACCACATTATAGTGCAAATGAATCATACTTACTCTATAAAACTACTTCTATGAAAATAATAGTGCATCTTTCTTATAAGGATATTCACGGATTTCTACTGACAACAAGTGGTGGTGATTCACTCGGTTCCCAAAAAATACATTTCTAAGGAGGAGAAAATTAGGAACAGAGGAAATCCATGAATTTGTGCGTCTCTGATTCTGGAAATAAGTTGGTCGCACCCTTGAGCACAGCGAAATCTACTAATGGCAGGAGGCAAGACTTACCAAAAGAAAAGAGTCTGCTCTGACAAACGACGAGAGCAGCTGGTCGCCTACCCGTGTCCCAGTTAGCGAGGCGCGTCCACTGTCCCAACGGTCGCTCACTGTCCGGCAGTGTGAAGACATCGATGGTGTTCAAATACTTCGGCTCTTCCCCAATGTACGCCTGTTTATTTCTGCCCCCAGCAATGAAAATGTTGTCTCCAAACGCAACCGCCGTGTGGTCCGCACGTGGCTCTAGCATGGCAGCAGCGTCCCTCCAAAAGACTTGCGATGCTTTACGTGGCCCTT